TTTAAATATAATTAACCTTTTAGATGAATTAAGAAGTTTTTCGAATTCGCTCTTCAGAGAGGACTCATTTGCAGACCTCATTAGTAGTTTAGAGTACAATCTCAAATATCAAACAATAAGAGGTCTGCCATACAGCACTGGCAATCATGCAGCAATTCTTAATTGCTCTGGAATATCATGCGACTGGGTCTTTTGGCGTCTCAGTGTTTTCTACATGCACCATCATTCGCAGGATATTAAAGCCAGGTTCGAGACGAAAAGGACAATTCCTGTCTTTCTTGATGAATTAAGTGGCATGAAATTAGAGTGTTATGATGTCACTTAGTTTCAAGGTGTGAGCGGGGGCGTCGATTTTACCCATATTAGGATCGTATTTCCAAACAAGTACAATATCATGGCATTTATCAAGAGAAAACAGTTTTACTCTACCAACGTCCAAACTTTTTATTACGGCGATGCAGTCATAATTACCATCGTTACACGTTGGCCTGGATGGTCTAACGATTTGCGCATTTTTGAGAACGGCAAGATGGCAGAGAAATTTAGGGAAACTAATGATGGCATTCCAGTAGGTGATAGTAAATATGCTTGCGCTTGTAGGGTGTTTTTAATGACACTAATCCTCAAGCGAAAGAATCGTGAAGAAATGTGCTATATCATAGGCGCACTAAGTTTGTTATTGAGAGATGCCTCATTTTACTAAAGCGACGATTTTCATGTCTGCACTTAGGACTGCACACAGCCCTTGAGAATACTCTTGTCATTCTTGAAACGATGGCACGACGTTTGAAATCTTTTCCTTTCTTTGAATGTGATTGCAACCACCTCCAGGATCTTTGAATTTGATTTACGTCCCGTTTCATCGCATGTGGATTGTAGAGAGTTAAATTTTTTTCTCAGTTTGCTCCCTGGTTTACGCCTTTTTCGTCAATGTCTTATTGTCATATGCTTTTACTTTCTGTATCTGAATAATCTTCCCGATTCCATTAGGAAAAGGTTTTCTCCTGAAGCTAAAACTTTCTCTTCAGCCGGATTTTGAGTGCATGTTTGTGAAAACCTTCAAACGGTGCATGTAAATCACTCGAAAGACCGTGTATTCCCCAGTAAGACATAGTTTAGCCCTTGACCGCGAAAAAACATAGGGTTTGGCTTAAACAATGTCTAACTTAGAGTTAGTGTCTTATATCATACAGGCTCCGGTTGTTCAAAGGGCGGATAACGCTATCCAACCGATAAATCGCTATCCAGCGGATAAGTGTTACCAAAACGTACTGCGCTATCCACCGTATAGAGATTTATCCAGTGTATAGCGTTATCCATCCTTCGAACAACCGGGGCCAGAACTTTAAATTTCCATGCGAAAATTTATATAACCTGAGGGAAAAAATTTAATGCAGTGAGCTTTCAACCGTTACAATATTTGACACAATTTGTTTGTAATTCTCTTAGACACACCAGAGAATGTGCAATTTACAACATCTGCCATGGATAACAAAGCATGTAC